CCACATACCTTGGTGGAACAAGCTTGAAGGGGAAATCTCCCAGACGTGGGTGTTTTCAGTGGCTGTCCTAATCTGCGGCAAAACTGGAGAGGGTTGGCGAAGCTTCCAGTCCTGAAGAAAGATGAAGGACAAAAGAACGATGCCTTCTCTGTTACTTGATGGCATCCAGAATGACTGTCCCGGCAAGAATGCACCCAAGGGTAAAGCTGCCCACCCTTTGAAGCCTTAAATATAGCATTATCTCATGTCACTTCAATGACAATGGAGAGAACCATTTGGTATTTATGATCCCTGCAACAGTTCTCGGCTAGGATATACCCGGGTCGTTTTTTTTAAGGTCAGGAACACTGGTGGGTCTATTGTTAAATGAGAACAAGAAAGAAACCATGCAATCCGATTTTCCGTGCCCAGGATGCAGAGTTTTGTTTCCTGCAGGCTCACAGAGAGGTTGATCTGCAAAGCTTTTGGCCCGTATGCATTAGATTTCTGTTTTCCCTACTCCTTTTACGTCCCTTCTCAAAGAGATTGCCTAAAAGTGTCTCTAATTAGCCCTAGATGAGTGCTCTGAACACTGGGCTGTCTTAACGAGTTTCTTGTGCCTCTAATGTGAAGAGGAGAATAACTTTGGCCCATCTTTGGAGAGACCTCTGATCTGATTGCTGAATAGATCTTTAATTTTCCATTGGCTTTTGGAAGATACCAATAAGTCTTTAGGTGGCGTGGCCTGCTGGATGATCTATTTACCTTGGCTGGCACTTTTACAAAGAAATGTGATCGCTGTTGTGGAATTGCGCAGCTGGTTTCTTACTTTATTGCATATTTAATATTTTATGATGTCTGGATTTTGAACTGTGTTTTGTTTGCAACAACCGTCTGATAAAGAGATGCATGCATGTAAAAGGGCTCTAATGAGACCTAGCTTTTTTCCGAGATTGAAATTGAAAATGAAAGGATGCTTAACGCCAGCGTTTCCCTGTTCTAAATCATCTTGCTTCTTTGTTTCTGGGTAGGGAGCGATTCAAAAAACACTCATTGTGGACTGTGGAAAGTACTGGGGAAATGATTCAGAATGGAAAAGTGAGAAAAATACTGAAGGAATTGGAGAGGTCGTGTAATACAGTGGTTAGAGCAGGAATCAAAAACGTTGGCAGGCCAGGCTGATCTTTTCGGTCCCACTATCCATCACGAGCCTGGAAATGCTCCAAAAATGATTAAAAAATTGGGTGGGTTAGGGAATAAATTCTAAAAATCCACAGGAAAACAACCCTGTTTATAGCCAAAACAGTTGATGCCTCTGACGGTCCTTCCTGGGGATGGAGCCAGGTGAGAACCCTCAGGGTGCGATGGGGTGAAGGGCCAAGCTACCTGGGCAGCTCAGAGATTTAAGAGCGTGACCTGAATGAGGGACAGGGCAAATTACTTCTGAACATTTATTAGTAGAAGACTACGGGAGGATCACCATAAGTCAAGAATCGATGTGGTGGCACATCATTATTCATGTGAGAAGCCCGGTTCTTCCGGTTTGAGGTGGATCGCCCTCACACCTGAACACTGAATCTCACACCTTATTTATAGGTAAAACGCTGTTCCAGGGATGAGAAAACCCCCTTTTTGCTTCTATTTTCCCCTCAGCATTCGGAGACCACTAATGGGTGGGGGGTGGGGAACGGTTTCTGTGAGGGCAGCTTCATAATTGTGTGATTATTCCAGTTTGCTACAAGGACTACCTAATTAATGTGGGCAGAAAAGCTGTTGCCATCATTTAGCGAGCCCAGAAAGCATGCCACAGCGTATCACAGGTCAGTCGCCAGAGACGGATTCCCTGCATTTTCTGTCGCTGTTGATATAGGTTCTATAGTATACCGTCACTCCTTTCCTTCGGCAATGTCCCAGTGACAGTCGGTATCTTGAATTCTTGGTCACAACAACACAAGCTAGGAGGAAAGATGTGGTGGCATACGATGACTGGTTGGGTTGCATCGGCTGGCATGTGGCTGACACGGGATCCCCAAGCGATGGCTTAGAAAAGCATTCCGCATCGAGAAGTTGGAACGCAGGGCTGGCTGGGCAGCAAGCACCCTTTATACCCCCTTTGTTCCTTTGCAAGAGCAAATTAAACAGATGGGAGGGCTGTTAGAAACATCTGCAGCTGCCTGTCCAGACCCACGGGGATAAAAAAAACAGGCAGTGTTATTATTGGAGTTTTTGCAACCTCGCATGCTGTCTTTAGTGAGTTTGGCTGGGAAGGACCTTTCTGGTCACTGTCGTAGTGAGTTTGGCTGGGAAGGACCTTTCTGCGCTAGGGTCACTGTCAATTTATCCAGCAGTAACCAATTGTTCCCTCCTGCCTCTGAATTCAGGGAGAACCTTACCTCTCTGCTTTCCACCTCTCTAGAGTTTGTTGCTAAAAGCAGTCGTGTTTATCAGTTTGCTGTTTGATCTTTTCACAACTGTAAGTAAAGAAAATGGATTTTATTCTTTCTACTAATGTCTCAGAGTGGGTTATTAAGACTTGCAAGTGCCAGCTAATGAGAAAATGGGGTGGGATTTCTCTGTGGAACTTGAAGCTGTTTGCTTTGTGAATTCCTGCTGTGCAGCTGAAGGAACTTAACCCAAAATTAAAAATTTGGAACAGTTTTATTTAATTAATTAATTAATTAATTCTATTTGTACCCCACCTATCTGGTCAATACGACCACTCTAGGTGGCTTCCAGACAGGTAAAAATACAATAACATATACGTATAACAAAAAATAAAAATATACAGAAATAGACATTAAATAATAAACAATGAACAATAAGGAATAAACAATAAGCAAATTCTTTAAGATGCCAAAAATAACAAAGAATAGATAAAGAAAGATTAAGTGTTATCTGGAGGGAAGGCCTGCTTAAACATCCACGTTTTCAGATGGGTCTTAAAAATACCCAGCGACGAGGCCTCACGAATCTCTGGAGGCAAGTTGTTTATTGGTACATAATGGCATTTCTTTACAATTTTCTAAAGATGATCCTCTGCTGCAACTTTTCCTAACCTGGCACTTCGCATATGTTTTGGACTATGGCTCCCATAATCCCCAGATACCATGTACGATGCCTGGGGCATAGTAGACCCACTGTACTAATCATGACTTGCTTCCGGCCAAATATATACAGAAGATTTCCCTGACCCAATGCATTTTTATACTACAAATCATTTCACTGTCCAGCCAGTGTGGGCAGTCACCAGGAACAATGGGAGCTGTCACCCAGAACTAGAACTCTGGAGGCCACTAATGTTGGGAAGGTTGTTTTTTAATTTAAATTTTTGCAACATCCATTGGCATAATTAATTTGCATCCCCAGCTTCTTATTTCTGCTATTCAGCCTGCAGCATGGCTGGTTATTTGCACTGCTTTTCCCTAGCTGCAACTCTCCCTCGGAGCTCATAATAAGTTTTTCTAGCCACACGCAACCTGCTTGTAAGGAACACACCTTATTTGGGTGATCTGTGGGAATTTCCCCTTACCAACACACCAAGCATCCTTACCAACTTTCAAAGCACTTTTCAGGCATGGCAAGGCCTTGTAAAACTAAAGCTTCCTCTTTGTAGCTTCTGTCTCTTATTGCTTCCTGTTCAGTACAGTGGCAGAATTACCGATTACTTATTTAGTCGGTTCCTATTTTCTTCAAGGGAGGCAAACTCAATAAAGAGGAAATTGGCAATTTGTTTTGTTTTCGTGGGGCAAAGCGGTTATATAACACCTGCTTTTTCTCTCTGATAACTATCAGATTATAGAGAACCCCACTGAAGGGTCAAAATATTGCCATTGCTTTCTTTTTTGAAAAGGGTTTAGGAAACTTTCAAGATGTTTTATAGGAAGTAGAGTGAATAGGGCTTAGAAAATGTTCCCTCTCTGGATCTCCCTCTTCCGGCTAGTGTCTCCGTGGATGACTTTCTGACTGCATTGGCAAATCCTGACTTTAGAAGGAGAACTTGCTAGAAATAGAATATTCACTTAATTCCTGTTGAGTTTTTAATTGAGCTAGATATTAATGAAACGGTTAGCCTTTTCTGACTAACTTTCCCATCTCTCCTTTAGCAACATATTGCAATATTCAGAACGTGTCTCTGGCATCTACTTTTACGAACATGATGGTCGGCCATCGTTGGAGCTCAGAGACCAAAATCCACTCAAACATCTCCCTAATGTGGAATTATGTAGAGATTCAAAAGGCCGGATAAGGCTTGGAAGGACGGGATCCACTCGGTCAGCTCCTTTCTCTGTAAGGTCCCACATCACCCGGATCTGCTGAGATTCCCCCTCCCCATATGTTTCTCAGGTTGAGAAATCCTTGTAGAAACCCACTTCAGGAAGTTGAGTAAAGAATTAAGAAATCAATCTGTAACAAAGCCCCAAGGAGCGGTTCTTATAGGATGGTTCAGAACGAGAGTAAGGTCTTAAGACTGTTTGCTCTCAAGATTATTGTCCTTTTTAGAGATCTGTGGATGAAAGGAGCTGTTGGTTTCACAAGCTGCTCCATAAAACGTGGGTGATGTGCATGTGTCATTCTTGGGGAAAGCCCTGTGGTTTATGGAAATTATTATCTTGAAAGCACAGAGAAGACGGCATTGTTCAGGCCATGGGAACCACCCAGTTTCCTTACATAACATCTGACTTACTCAGCGAAGCATCATGACATACGCCAGAATTTTCATAAGCTGTCAAGCATGCTCCAGCAAGTGGTGTAACCTGAGGGATTTTTGAACCACTTCCCCCTGGGTTTGGCTATTATTTTAAAAAGATTGGAAAGGCGATAGAATAACATCCCATTCAATCAAGGTTCTGTAGCCTAGGATTTTGTAAAATGAGTTAGATATCAGGCTGCAGAGGCTGGGGGTTCGATTCCCTGCTGTGCCTCCTGTGAATAGAGCCAGCCTGTGTTGCCTTGGGCAAGCTTCATAGTCCCAGAAATGCCCTCAGAAGAAGGGGATGATAAACCACCTCCGAGTACTCTTTTTACCTAGAAAACCCCAGAAAAAGGTCAGCATCAGTCAGAACTGACTTGATAGCATGCAAGTTTATTTTCCCTCCCAAAGCTAATCTTCAAAACTCACTGGATGCAGGATGTGTAGCTGTGGAAAAATCACATGCCATGACAAACAGCCATATTTTATTTTTTTTGCATATTTAGTGTGACCTGGAGAGAAAAGACTTTTCCAAAGATATTAATAACTGGTCTGACAGGAAAGAACTGTAACTCGCCATGTTGGCACATGGGGCATCTCTCACCCACTCTGCACAGAGAAATGGGGGTGAGCCCCCCATGAAGAACAAGGAAGGGAATGCGATAAGCCCCCAAAAGAAAGATAAGGCTTATTTTTTGTGTGTGAGAGAGCGAGAGAGAGCGAGAGAGCATTAATAGGGCTGGGAGGTATGGTCATTTATTTTGTAACATGCACCAGTAGTAGATTTACCTCTAGATTTGGGTGCCCTCCAGACTTGGGTGCTGTGGGTCAAAACCCCAGTCGCCCACCCCTCGTGACAGCCCTGCATGCAGTGAATCCCATCAAGAAAAGGTCCTCTGAATGGAGCTTCACGGCTACTGTTCAGAACGTCTCTGCCTCTCCGTGTGAAGAATTTAACCCAGCTTCACTGCAAAAATTAAATATTTTCCAAAACCACAGGCCAGGGGAAAGCAAGTAAGGATGTTTTTTACTTTGGCATCAACTCTTCTTTTGCTCTACATTTAAAGGAACTGAAGGGATGGAGGAGATTATTTGCTATGTAGGAACAGCCGTGACCTGCCCTTCAACTTGAAAGCTATTATTTTCTGTTAGCAATTGAAATCTCCTTCTTTCCCTTGATTGCTAAGAGAAATATTTTTCCAGTGTCTTATTTATGGCGGACGCAGGTTGTCTCAACACCATGACCCAGCCTGGGGAGAAGCCCCCACCAGAGACCTCACCTTTAGCATAAAATCAGGTTACTACATTACACAGTTAAAACAAATAGGTAGCTAGATCTTGGTTTTTGAAGTCCATTTTCAATTGCACAGGAGTCATGTGGTTTTGGGGTGTGTATGTTTGTCCTCTGATTTCGAACCACCCTGACATGGTTTTCAAACTAGGTGAGATATTTAAGAAGGGGCTTTATTATGGCCCCACATTGAGTTTCCACGGCTGAGCAGGGACTGGAATCCAGATCTCCTGAGTCCACCCAAGGGTCTGCCTACACAACACTGGCTCTCAAGCCTGTTTTAAACGGTTTAAATTATAATGGTTTTTCAGCCAAAGAATCCTGGAAACAAGTTCTTTGAAATTGTTGAGGAATCGCCAGTTTTGTTTTAGCTCATACTTCTGCGTCCTGGCTTGATTCCTTGTGAGAAGGCGTGAAACATATGTGAGAGGGAAGCGCCATACAGAAGGAAGTGTTCTAACAGGGTTTAATCTGATACCAAAAGAGGAAATCAGCTTTACGAAACCAGACTGTGGGTTTCCTATTTTTTCCCCCTTTCATGAATTGGAATTGTGAACAGATGGGGAAGCTCATACCCCTTTCACTTTTTCTTGGGGGTGGGATAGATTTCTATATTCCATGCCTTTCCTATTAAACTGGACCGCTTCCCTCTGTCCCGTAGTTCCACTGGATTTTTAGTTCCAAGTCTTTGAAGAGGTCTGTAAAGAGTCCCTTGTTTGGGGCAGAGTCCAAAGGGTTTTCTGGTGTTGCACCAAAGGGTTCATCTTCTCTTGTCAACCCTTTGCTTGCCGGCGTGATACAGTCTTTGGTTGGGCATCCGAAAGGCGCCCACTGCTTCTCAGTCCAGGCTAAGGAATCCCAGCCTGTCCACTGCATGGTGCTGTGATCTTGACAGAGTTTATTGGGGGGATCATGGGAAATTAAAGATGGCGGCCCACCTATCAAGAGAGGGTTGCTTTCTAAGATGGCATTCTGGGTGAGTGCCAATGGTAACAATTCCTTAGGTTGCTTTCTATAGCTTCCTGTACTGTCCGCTGCTGTGTCACATGCCTTTTCTTCCAGAGACGACAGAAGCTGTGGTAATAACCGTCGTGTGTCTTCCTGAAGCATCAAACATTGTTTTTTTCCTGTGTGATCTACTGTAAACTCCTGTTGTGCCTGGTTTACCCATTCTCCTCCTCGACTGTGTTCTGGTTTCTGTGCTTGGTAGGGTCCATTGTTGACAGAATCCTCAGGAAAAGAATTGCGCTTCCCGGCTTGGTTAGGTGAAGAACCAGCCTTGTCGATGCAGCTGGTGCTTTCAACGCATAGCCCATACGTTAAAGTCAAAGGATTGCTCTCTAAGGGGGAGGGCGGATTGTTCTTCGTCACTTGTGGGGCATAACCTCTCGGGAGATCATCCGTTTCAGCCACAGTCTGAGCAAAAGTCGGGAAAGGAGGCACCGTGGCCTGCTGCTGGTAAGCGGTTTCCGTCCCGCTGAATAATTTCCGGTGTTCCTGATGGCTCAAAGGCTGCGGGTTGATCTGTGGGGTCGGCTGCATCTCCAGAATGTGTTGAACCGATTTGGATACATCACACGGGATCAGAAAATGCTCCGCTTTTGGTACGAGAGGTTGGAAACGAGAAAGATTCTTGAAATCCTGTGAGGATTAAAAATGAAAATGAGTTGTTAGCGACCGGGGGCGTCTTCTTAAAGGGAGGAAGCGAGACCCAGGATGTTCCAAACATCTCAACCCATCTCTGCCATGAACTCATTAAGGTGTGCCTAAGCGAAGACAGGGCAGCATCCTTCGCTGCCAGTTACGGCAGCAGCATAGCTTTGTGGGGTACAGGGGGACGAGTATGGCTCCGTGGTTCTCTCTTCTCCATGCTGCTGCTTGAGATAGTTGCCTGAGTCTGCCCGAGAACAGTGCCAGCCCTGCCGGAAGCTCCTGATTTCCACAAGATGTGGAGAGGTACAAGACCCAAGCCCTGGGAAACGCAGAGAATTCAGGGAAAAGACGAGATGGGTCTTGAGTCTCACTTTGCGGTGGCCTCAGGGGAAGGCAAAAGGCAGCGCTAATGCCTCTTATTGCTTCATCATGTCTATTCCAAAACCTACTATCTAATGAGGCCAACTGAGTCACCCTTCCCTTGGCTTCTTGAGGTAAACCACATGACAAGGGCCAAGACTGCTAAATGAGTTTGAAAAAGCCACTAGTCACCTGAAAAAGGGTCCGACCTCCTCTGAAGTAGCTGGGCTGTGTTCTATTTACTGTTTGAAAGGTAACTATTTATTTTCTCATTATTCAAAGGTACTGAAAGGTAAAGGTTCCCCTTGGCATTTAGTCCCGTCGTGTCTGATTCTAGGGCGCGGTGCTCATCCCCGATTCCAAGCCGTAGAGCCAGCATTTGTCCGTAGACAGTTACCATGGTCACGTGGCCAGCGCGACTAGACACGGAATGCCATGACCTTCCCACCGAGGAGGTACCTATTTATCTACTCGCATTTTACATGCTTTCAAACTGCTAGGTATGCAGGACCTGGGACAAAGTGACGGGAGCTCACTCCGTCGCATGGATTCATACTAAAATGTACTAAACAGTTAAATTGTAACTGGCCCATATGCGTGTAGAAAAGGGTTGGAAAGGTACTTACCAAAGCTGTGGGCTGCTCTGCATCATACTGTTTGATATACTTGTAAATCAAGTAACATATTGTTCCAAAGATTAATATTATCATAAATAGGATCACTGTGAACAAATATGGCAGCCAGGTGCGGTCTGTAAGAGAAAACAGAACATGAAAGGTATCCTGGCTTCACAACTTTGGGCTTCAGAGCAGAGCCATGGAAAAATTATCTTATTCTTAATGTTCAAATGCAAAGAGTTGGTTCTAACCTATAAAGCCCTAAATGGCTTGGATCCACGATATCTCAAGGACCACGTCTCTCTTTACGAACCTGCTCAGGTGTTCATAAGGGAAGACTTTCCTCTCAGTCCCACCAACTTCTCAGTATTTGATGGGGACATGGGAGAGGGCCTTCTTTGTGGCTGCTCCCGGACTCTGGAACTCCCTCCCACTGGAGGCCAGCCTGGCCCCATCATCGCTGTCCTTCCACAAGCAGGCAAAGACCTTCTTCAGGCAGGTTTTCCCTGAATGGCTGGCTGCCTGAGTGGGTTTTTTTAAAAAATGGATGATTGAGTCTGCACGAGGTGAGCAGGGCTGTTGAGGACTGGACATTTTGGAGATTGCTCATTCATAGGAACACCATAAGATGGAGGTGACTTGATGGCGTGCAACAACAATGTCACTTAGAACAACACAATAAGATTCTCACCTGGTGACGTCCTTACTCGAAACACATAAGGCTTGCTGACTTTGTCCACATATTTGATGCAGACTGTTCCATTGTATTCAGTATCAGGATCCAAATCAGAGATTTCAAATTCTTGTGTGCTCAGAGTTTTTATCCACTAAATTGAGAAAGAGAAATTGATGGAGATGAGAGAGAGAGAGAGAGAGAGATTTGTATTTCAGAAATAAAAAGCGATAACAGCTTCTGAGAGAGAGAGAGAGAGAGAGGGATTTGTGATTTAGAAATAAAAAGCGATAACTTTATGTAATCAGCTTCCGAAGCTCAACTAGATAGATCACAAAGCGAACATGATTCTAGATAGACAATTTTTGCGTGATGCGTATGTCTCCTAGAAAGAGGGTTTTGAACACAAGCTCTAACCGATTCTTATTCCCAATCATAAATAACAATTGTTACCATCAAGTTGATTCTGACTTACAACGACCCTTTCCAGGGTTTTCTAGGTAGAGAGTACTCAGAAGTGGTTTACCATCCCCTTTCTCTGGGGGTCCATGGGACTGTGCAGCTTACCCAAGGCCACACAGGCTGGTTCTTCCCCCAGGAGGCACAATGGGGAATTGAACTCTCAATGACTGGCTCCTTGGCCAAATACCTAAGTCACTGAGCTGTCCATCCAGTATAATCACATGTTATCAAGTCAATTCCGACTTATGGTGACCCTTTTTTTCCAGGCACAGAATACTCAGAAGTGGTTTCGTCTTCCCTTCTCCTGGGGCAGCTCTGGGTCGTTGCAGCTTGCCCAAGACCACCCAGGCTGGCTTTTCTCCCAGGACGCCCAGTGAGGGAATTGAACTCCCAACCTCTGTCTCCACAGCCAGATACCTACACCACTGAGCTATCCAGCCCATCTTTGATATGAATTCATTGTGTTTAGGTTTAATTGTGCACACAGGGAGTGAAAGCTAGTAAAAATCCAAGATCGTCATGACTTCATTGATATGTAGAATGCTGGGGCTATGCAATATTTCCACTTCTGTGTGGTAATTCAATGCTGATAATGGCCCAGTAATGAAGAGACCCTCATTCAGCAGGCCGAGGCAAAGAGGCAGTCCCGAAACCAGCAAAACCAGGGAACTGGACAGGGGACAGACTGTATTTGTCTTGAGTGTGGAAGGGATGGTCACTCTCGAATTGGCCTTCTCAGCCACACTAGATGCTGGTCCAAGTCCTCCATACAGAGCACGTTAACCATCGTCTCTCAAGACGGAAGGATGCCTAATCTAAATCTAATCTAAAAATAAATGCCCAGTAAACTAGAGAAATAAAGTGGGTAGGTTTGTGAAAAGCTGCCTGTCGTTCTTCTTGTCTCTCCCCCCCCCTTCTCTTACCTTCTGTTGTGTCTTTGGACAGAACATCGTTATTTCATACGTGACGTCACCGAATTGGCTGAAAATATCCACCACAGTCAGGGGCTGGTTATCCTCATCCCTCAGAGGTGTGTACGGAGGGTGGATAAAAAACTTTATAGACTGAGTGCTTGGGACGCATTTTACCTCAGGTTTTCCCATAGTAGCTAGCAGAGAGAAAATACACGGAATTTGTTGAAGACTAAAAGACTGCTCTGAGACAGTTTTCAGATATTAGCTTAAAGGCTTTGTATTTTTCTCTCCCTTTAAAAAAAATTATTTATTTATTAAACTTCTAAACTGCCAATCTGACTAACAATCACTCCGGGTGACATATACCACATAAATGGTATCAACCTATCATTCAACAAACAACAGTTCAAACCAATATAAAATAAAATCAGGTTTTTCATTGACTTGGCTTCTTGAATATTTACCGTTCATAGTTGGCAATCAATTGAGAGAAAGATGGAGAATATTAGCACCGATAAGGTTTCAATTCCTGTCAGGATAACCAGCTAAGGTCTATCCCCGTGAAAGATCACCACATTCAGAAAGAGAAGAGGGCTTTTTGCCATTTAAAGAGTCACAAACAAGGAACGTCCCTCAGGATAATGTGGCAATGTCAAAGAGCGGAGGCAGATGTAATAGCTGATTTATGCAGGCGTCTCAAAGGAAGTGAAGCCTCATCTAATTGGGAATATATGCACCCCATTTCGGCGTCTTTTAATGGCATCAACTGTGGCCCTCATGCATGGCTAAATCCCAGTTTCCATGAGGGCTAGGCAGCTGAGCCTTTGGCAAGGAATGTAGGATCTAGCAGGACCACTACCTATCCCCATTTAAAAAGTTTTACAAAATAGGGAATTTGGGCAAATAGGTTTAATCCCACTGTAGTAATGACTGAAGAAGCCCAGCCCTATGGATAGTGAAAGCTTTAAAGAATAGGGTGCATGGAGGCTGTCCTTTGAATATAATCTCAACAGCATCAAGATTGCTTAGCTTAGAGGAGTCGTTCCCATTCTTGGCTAACCCAGGTCTTCTTGAACTGCAGGTCCCAGAAATCCTGGCCAGCCCAGCTGGTGGTGAAGGCTTCTGGACTTTGCAGTCCAAGAACACCTCGGTGACCCAAGCCTGGGAACCACTGATTTACGAGGTAGCGTGGCAGGTGTCCTGCTGGAAAGCAGACCACTGTCTTGGGAAGCAAAGCCTCCATCTCTAGGTGAAACTCCATCAACCTCTCTCCGTTTTCATCATTAAATCATAGAAACCCACTTACTGTCCTCACGCGGGCAGAACCTCAGAGACTGGACCCACACAGAGGCACAGCAGTTCTGGACGACGGCTCTCACCCTGGCGTGGAAGCGCTCGGTGAAGTTTTCAGTTTCCCGGGTGAGGTTGCAGAAGCGCTGTGTGATGTTTTGGCATCCGATTTTGTCCTGCCATTCTTCCCCATATCTAAAAAAAGAGACATGATGACAGCTCCTCGTAGGCTTCATCCACAGCTTGGGTGTACACTAGTGCAAAGGGCACACACAGTTGCTTAAATGATAGAAAGAGCAATACAGGATGGAAATAGGAGTGGGTCCCTTTCTTCGGAGAAAAGCAGCCTAAAGCCTACAAATAGGGTAAAGGTCCCCCTTGACATTTAGTCCAATCATGTCTGACTCTAGGGCGCGGTGCTCATGCCCATCTCCAAGCCGTAGAGCCAGTGTTGGTCCATAGACAGTTTCCGTGGTCACGTGGCCAGCGTGACTAGACACGGAACACCGTGACCTTCCCACCGAGGTGGTACCTATTTATCGACTTGCATTTTTACATGCTTTCGAATGGCTAGGTTGGCGGGAGCTGGGACAAGCGACGGGAGCTCACTCCATCGCGTGGATTCAATCTTATGACTGCGTGGTCTTCCGACCTTGCAGCCCAGAGGCTTCTGCGGTTTAATCCACAGCACCACCACATCCCACCTATAAATAAGAGAAACAAATAAATGGTCCACGGTCAAAAAAAGGTTTGCAACCAGATGTGGCACCACAACATCATTGTGACAATGATGGTAAAAGCTTTGAAGAACAGGGTGCGTGGAGACTGTCCATTGAATATAATTTCAATAGCATCAGGTTTGCTTAGCTTAGAGGAGTTTCTCCCTGCTGTAAGCCACGGAACTGACTGTACCATACCTATCACCACCGTCTGCAAGCAAAGGACGCACCACACGCAGGTGCCCTCCTGAGAAGGCAGGAAGCCGCCTTCTGCTGTTGTTTTATTTTGCAGCAATAGCAGCAGATTTTATCTCTTCTAGGAATGGGTGAGAATTTTATTGCATTTTGCTTTTGAGAAGCATTTGCTAAAATTTGGTAAAAAACAGAGAAGAATTCACGAAGATTTGCACGTTTCTTCGTGCAAATAACTTGAGATTTATTTTTAAAAACTCAGTGTAGGAATGCAGAGTGCAGGCCTCCATCTGAAGGCCCTAAGAGATTTATTTTCTACTTCCAGATGTCGTGAACAAGCCTAACAACAGACTCCGCCATGAGTCTCAAGGGCCAAAGTAGCTGATGTGTGTACCACATACTTGGAAGAGGTGATCTCTAAAGTGGCGAAAGACATCTGTTTGTCACAGAATGTGGTTTTCTGCACTTTGGTATCTGGCTTTTAGTGTGCTTTGTTTTGGGACTGGTAATTGGAGAGCAATCGCAGACTTAATTTGCAAATGTGTTGAGGCATCCATCTCTGAAGAAACCCCATTGTCAAAAGGGAAGCAGTAGGAATCAATAGTTCCATGAATATTTGAGGGTCAAACGAAATATTAATAGCATTCTGTAACCTTTCCAATTAACCAATTTCCCACTCCAACAATGGGTTTCCCAACCGCTTTAGCAATCGTCTCATTTAACTTTTGTTTCTGCAGTTTCCTTCATTTCTTTCAAAGAAAATACATCTTCAAAGACTGAGACCTAGATCAATCTACATAACTTGTTTAGGCACTATTAAACTCTATTTATAGCCTCCCGCCTTCCCACCATTCAAAGCTATACACCCCTAACTGCTTTTCCATCTTTTCATATCCTATCCAGTTGCAAAGTTTCATATATAAGGGCATGCCAATTTTGGCCCTTAACCTTAGAGATTTGTATATTTTTTTTAATTAAAAAAGATGCTTCTTCTGTAAAGGTTTGGAACAAATACTGTATGTAGACTCCATATTTACCTTTGTTAAACTCGTGAGTAAGCCTGTATTTATTTATTTTTTTTACTTTAGTGTTTATTTTCCTTTTATTTTATCTCATGATGTTTTACAGTGTATTTTAGTGATAATTTGTTTTGCATTTCTCACATTTTATTTGGTAATTGTGGTTTAAATGTTGTTTATTCTGTCATTGTTATTGTTTACCTTGTTGCAAACTGCTGAGTGGCCTTGGCTGCGAGATAGATAGATAGATAGATAGATAGATAGATAGATAGATAGATAGATAGATAGATAGATAGATAGATAGATAGATAGATAGATAGATAGATAAGCAAGCACTTATTCTCTTTAACTGCCTCTGCTATTTTTGCATGGGAGTAACCCATCTGAAGGCATAGATTGTCTGGTGCCTACTTAATTAAATCATACCCAGGTTTTTTTGTTGTTCGGATTTAATTGCTACAGATTAGAATGTAACAGTTGTGAAATCACGGTTTAATGAGCACCCTCTATTTTGTACATACTGTATATATATCGGTGGAGTCTGCCAATAGAGTTCTTACAAGAAAACAGCCGTGTTTACTGGAAATATCGGAGAGGAAGATGCCTGGAGGTCAACTTTAAAAAATGCTGGTGCCACCGCAAACAGATCCAAAAGGGCATTGCACTGAAGGTTACTTCAGCTGCAAAAGGACACGTCAGCCAGTCTAGGGAGATGTTGCAACTGAATGGGTGAAACAAGGGGATTTGAATTAGCTGCAGTTTGCTGATCTCATGATGTATAGAAAACACTGTGTTTACAACTACTTCTGCGGCCAGATACAATTGCAGAATGGACTATACCCTGCTCCTTGAGATGCTCCTTGTAAAGTGGAGACTCGTATCTGATGGTAAAACTTGGAATAAGGTTTTCTTGGACTGCGGTTCCATAATTCTCCATTCTGGGAGATCTGCCTGAACTCACACCTTACAGGCACCTAAGTGTGGTTTGCCTGGAGAAAAAGGCTAAACTGGGAGGCTTTCACAAAAGAGAGATTGTATTTCTGCTTAAATGATACTTGATTTGGACCTCTACATTAAAAAAAGTGAGGGGGATATGCACATTTAGATCTGCATCTTCTTTTGCCATTTTTGGGGGTGATCTGTAAGAAGCTAGTTCCCCCAAAGTAATATTTCCTCTTTGCAATGTGCCCTGCCACATTTTGAAGTGCAAAACTGTTCCAAACTCTGAAAGGCAGGTAATATCAGGATTCCTTCTGCATCATTTGGAGTTGTCACTGTTGAGTTCCTGTGCTCACCTGCAAATCTTGAAGCTACACACAAGCCCGACATAAACAATTAACCTATTTCCTTCCCTAGACATGACACAGCGATGTTTCCATGACAACATTCTTTATCCTGAAGGAGCAGTGGATTTCACTGGGCAAAATCCTGTAGCCGAACATTGTTGTGCTTCCTGCAATTTGTGCCAGAGGGCAGGAACATTCAGCTTAAAACTTCATCTCTCTCCCCCTCCCCACCCCAAATTTTAGGTCCCAAGATTGCCTTGGACTTCCTTTTTGCCTTCAGAAAGCTTTTGGGAGCCTCTGAATGGGGAAAGTCTTTAAAAGTCAAAATATTTCATGTATACTAATTAGTGTACACGAAGTGTTTCCAGTGCCCGATCCAGGTTGCACCAACTGCAAAGTTGTGTAACAAGGTTTTGCCCATTATGTGTAACGCCAGCCACCAGTGAGAAAGGAGGGTCTTCTCACCTCTTGTATTGTACATAATATACCGTCCCTGGGGGCGTCTCTCCCCTGCTTTCCCACGTGAAGATATTTTCAAAGTTGGTGGACAAAAAGGTTGCTTGTAGAACGAATGTCCGTCTCTCTGTCAGTGAACTCCCTGAAGACAAGAACGAACAATTTATTAGACGTTAGCTACAATGGAAACGGCAGCTTTGCTACTTGGTTGATATGAATCTCACTGTTTTCTGGGTTTGCCGCCTGAACTTTGTGGCAATAGATAACAGGTTCTAACAAGACTATGTTGGAGAAAAGAGGTATGTGCAGCCTCAGGATTTGCAGGGAGAAAACAAATCTGTCCCTTTTTTTTGTGGGGTGCTTTCAAAACTGACCAGAGTTTCATCCGGCAGATTTGTGATTCCTTTGAAGCCTGATTTCATGAACGCAGAAAGACTGCCCTTTCTAGAACATTAATGTGCTTTCAGCTATAATTATCGGCCATCTCTAACATCTGTTTTTTGGCCTGAGATGCCTGGCGGTTCTGTTAAAAGTCTAAAGATGGTTTCTCGCTTAGCGTCTCTACGTATAAATTTGCATGAGCAAGTTTATTCAGATCTACTGTCCTCTTTTTACAGTGGTGTATATACTCCTCTAGATGATGTGCCAGTGGTAACCTGGTTTAATTTCCATTAGAGATGGGCAGAAACCAGAAAACCGGTGGTTTGTGATGGTTTGTGGTTTGTGGCTACCCACGATCCACGAACCATCGTAAATCCCCTAAAAATTGAACTGCTGAGTGGCGAGCGCCTGCGCAATCAGTCAGCTGGGTGGCGGGCACATGTGTGGGGTTTCTGGTGGCGGCGGCAGCTTGAAACCAAAGTAGGGAGCCAACAGGGGGAAAGAGGTTGGGTGGGCCTCCCCCTTTGCTGAGGAAAACGAAGCCCTGAGGGAAATTCGTCGGGCCTCCCCCTTTGCTGAGGAAAACGAAGGCCTGAGGTGAAATAAATTCGTCGCTTCGTTTCATTTTGTCAAAATGGGATCCCCAAACCGAATCACAAATTGAACCACGAATCAGCCCAGTTCGTGGATTTTTTCCTGGTTTGTGGTTTGGTTTGTGCCTATCTCTAATTTCCATTCAAGGGCTGAAGGCCTAAATCCAAGGCCTAAGTCTCCCAAACGGCAAGGGACAAGTAACCAGACCTGGGACAAAGGTGGGATTTCTTGGGCATGCCAGTAAGGGGCATTCGGTTGACCTTCCGATCCCCTAGGTCAGTGGTCTCCAACCTTGGGCCTCCAGATGTTCTTGGACTTCAACTCCCAGAAATCCTGGCCAACAGAGATGGTGGTGAGGGCTTGTGGGAGCTGTAGTCCAAGAACATCTGGAGGCCCAAGGTTGGGGACCACTGCCCTAGGCCTTGCTCTTTCTTCTCCTCCTGTCTGTGATTGCTTGGTCTTCACTCTTAGCTAGGCTCATGAGCAGTTTACAAGAGAGTAGAGCCCCACCCCAAACAGACTCCACTCGGTGGAAGCCTTTCCTTTCTGTATACGCCCAGCAGAAAAGGAAAAATCAACTGGATTATGGGGTCATGAGCAAGGTTAGGAACAGCAAACCACATTGCCCAAGAGCTTGCGAAAGTTATCTTTTTGGATTACTCAAACATCCAAAGCTTGCAAAATCTGCCTTTTTTGAACAACTGCTGGAATCCCTCACTTAGCCATGCTGGCTGGGGGAATTTTGGGAGTTGTAGTCCGAACGGGCCACATTTCCAAGCACTGCCGACGTCTTAAACTGACCCTAGCTCATGTGGTTGAACAATCTTCTGTAGAAAACGTTTCCTGCACACACGTGTTTCTCTGAAGAGTAGAGCTTCCAGCTATCTTCTTGACATTCCAGTATTATATGTGTAGGGAAACTACATTTGCTTATTTTATTTATGATCCACCCTTCCTCCAGGGACCTCATACATCTGGAATCCTAGTTTTCTTCACCTACTACAAAGTTAAGTCTGTGTAAATTTGCTAGGCGTTACATCCAGGCAAGGGTGCTGTTTGATGAAGACCACTTCTGCCTTGGTGCAATTCGAGTTGCCGCTATACTCTGGGCTGTCTTGCGTTTTCCCATTTTTCCTGCAGAATAACCTTGAGTATTTAAGATGGCTCTCCTTCTGCCTGCTTCCTTCAAATGCTTTAGCTCCTAAGGTGCACGAATATAAACGAGGAAGCTTTTTCTGGAGCAAAGATGAGTAATGTGAGGAGTTGGCTCTACCTGTTGAATGTTGGCCTGTCAGGCTTCCGCTAAAGGCGCAATGGCCAGGCCTGGCAGAAAAGAGGGGCAGAAGTCCATTTAGTTATAGCTGCAATTTCTTTTTAACACATCTTAACAGTAGGTTTAGCCTGGACTTTGCCTCAGGAGGGCAGAAAAGAAAACAGACGACAAGGCTTTGTGTGTGTGTGTGTGTGTGTGTGTGTGTTTTATAATCTGAGGCAAATAAACAAGAATCTTTAATTTTAGAAGAAAGAGTGGGCATTCCTTTTGATCCGCTGAACAACTCACTCTTGTCCACTGTTGCATAAGAGAAACCAACAAATACTGAGATTGAAGTGCTTGTGAACAACTTTTAAAGCTCCAGAAATAAATACACTGGGGTTTTCCACCACCTGAATGGAACGCGGATGGTGGCATTAATCCAAGGGGTTGGGCTACATATTACCTAGAAGGGTGGCAACCTAATACAGTACCTGCTTATGCTACCTGTGCCAGCGTGTGGGGGAAAGAAGCGTCTTCCCAGACTAGCGTCCTCCTTTGAAAAGCTGAATGAATGCCAGCACTGGAAGGAGACACAAGCATGAAATTCTCCTGTCTGGTCTGATGAAGAACTTGGAGAAGTTACTTTTTTGGTCTACGACCCTCCAGCCACATAACGAAGGCTACCCGTCGGTAGATTCTATGATTAGGTTTAAGCCTCTACCTCGTGCAACAAAACAATGCCAGTCTCTCGGGGAGATCAAACCTTTCCTTTAAAAGACTGGTTGACCAAGAAGATTTTTTAAAAGAGTTTAATTTTTTTCCCCTTGTTTTACTTGTGTTTTTAATATTGCTCAAATTATGAGTTTTAATATATCTGTTTAAAGCTTTTAAAAAATATTTTAATGATTTGCTCTTTTGCTTTTAATTGGTTTGGTTTCTAGGCTTGCATTTTTCCTTTGACGTTAGGGTGAGAAGACACCTCGTGTCTGATCCCCTTGTTTCTTGGAGTATCTACACTCCTTTGTAACTGCCATGGATTCGTTGGAGATCCTTACGTAGTGCCCGGATGGAGAGTTACTTAGCTTTTCCTTCTGGAAAGCCATAATGCATTCAACGGAACTGCAGGAGAAAATAGCTCAGAACAGCGTGAGAACCCAGGAATCTAGATCTGGTCGTCCTCCACAACTCTACATTTTCCCCACATTTCTGCATTTCCTAACTGATCCCTCTCCCCCCAATGAATGTTTTTAGCCATTTTCAGACCTGGTGGGTGATGGGGCTTGGATTTAGACCTCAAGCCTTCTGTTTTGTCTACTCCTCCTGCAGTGCCATGGCAGAAGTGGTATCACATACCTCGTATAACTATGTTGTGTAGCGAAACTGATGTGGACATGACAGCCCATCCCTAAAAGGACAGGAGTGCATACTGCCTCGAACACTCCGATGACAAGGGGGTGTGAAACATGGTAAATAGGCACTGTATTAATTTATATTGGTGCTTCCCCCTGCAAATTGTGATTGAATGTATTCATTTTATCCATCTATTTTAATTATAAACTATCTTGAGACCCATTCTTGGGAGAAAATCAGGCTGTAAATTAATTTTTAAAAACCCAATTAATATAGGATCGCACTGCTGGAGATATTGTGAGTAAACGGTATGCATTTGACAAGATGATATTTAATATTTGTGCCTTGAAATTAGTCACGACCTATCAATAATATTTCGGAAGCATCTTAACATTCAGTTTCCAGAACAAAACTTAAAATGGGGGATTCAAATTAGGAAATGCTGTGGAACTTTAACATTATGAAGCATAATCACAAACATGTTAATTATAAAAATAGACAGATAAATAAACATGAAACAGTGAGATTGGCACCATTATTTTGCTGAGAAAATTTTCCCTGAAGCAGAAAATCTAGAAAGTTAATGCAAATCATAACATGTTGTAAGAGCAGGAATCTTGATATTAGTTGGAGTTCTGTATCTCAAAATATCCTAAGGGCATTTCCATAAACTATTTTATTTATCAAGCATAAAGTGCTCAAATCTAGCACTACAGACTCTCTGCTTACAAGTAATGTGGTTTCCTGGAAGAATTGTAAATCACACTGCTGTTAAGTTGAATTCTATTTTCCCACAAGGCTCAATGTCAAGGATGGGTTTTGGTTGAGGGAGAATTTTCATGTCTTACGGATAAAATTATTGATGTGCTTTCCTCCGACCTTTTCTCTTTCCTTTTGTGTTCCTCTTTTCTCTCCACTCCACACCACTTCTGCTCTCTTTCTGCTACAGACTGGTTCATACGGTTGGTTGGTCAGAGAGAGAGAGAGAGAGAGAGAGAACTGAGGCATGGTGCATTGGGCAGGGAGGTTTCTTGTACAGCTCAGTGGGTTGGAGCACCAGGGGAGAGGTTGGTTGGCACCCACAACAATGTGTGTGGCTGACGGGGTTATGTGCTCTGCCATCAGTGTGGCCCTGGGCGAGCTCCACAGTCCGAAGGCAAGGAATTAAACTGGTCCACTGTTGCATAAGAGAAACCAACAAATACTGAGATTGAAGTGCTTGTGAACAACTTTTAAAGCTCCAGAAATAAATACACTGGGGTTTTCCACCACCTGAATGGAACGCGGATGGTGGCATTAATCCAAGGGGTTGGGCTACAGCAGTGGTGCCTTGCTTAACGGGCGCCCGGTTTAACGACAAAATCACATAGCGACGAAAATTTTGCAATTGCTTTGCGATGGTCTGGGAGTACCTGCTTATGCTACCTGTGCCAGCGTGTGGGGGAAAGAAGCGTCTTCCCAGACTAGCGTCCTCCTTTGAAAAGCTGAATGAATGCCAGCACTGGAAGGAGACACAAGCATGAAATTCTCCTGTCTGGTCTGATGAAGAACTTGGAGAAGTTACTTTTTTGGTCTACGACCCTCCAGCCACATAACGAAGGCTACCCGTCGGTAGATTCTATGATTAGGTTTAAGCCTCTACCTCGTGCAACAAAACAATGCCAGTCTCTCGGGGAGATCAAACCTTTCCTTTAAAAGACTGGTTGACCAAGAAGATTTTTTAAAAGAGTTTAATTTTTTTCCCGGCTTTTTAATATTGCATAGCGACGTTTTCGTTCTGCAGCGATTTCTCCGGAACGAATTATCGTCGCTATGCGAGGCACCACTGTATTTTCCCAACTCAAACTGCCCCCCACAATTTCCATTAATCATGGGAGGCGGCCCAAGTGTTCAACAACCTCGGATCCCCCTTCAACACGGCCTTGTTCTTCTCTCTTCTTCGTGGGCTTCCCAGAAACAGCGGGCTGGAAACAAAATGCTCAGTTAAATGGCTTCCCATTTGATCCCTCAGGCCTCTTCCTGGCTTCCTCCTCCATATTTGTTGCGATACAATTCCTGCTGGCCTCATCCGCTAGCAATAGGCTGACCAGGGATTATGGGAGTTAAACAGGAAGCCTAATTTAGGGGATTGGTTGCATTAAGGATCGTATTATGGCTGGTTCTCTGGGAAGCATCTTCTCCTGTGCCTTGTGTGGCAGCCTGTTCTGCCAAGAAATGCTCTCTCTTTGCAAAGCAAAAAATTTTTCCTTCCCTCGTTTGCTTGTGGCAACCAGGTTGCAGCGGAAAACATGGAACTATAACTGATTTTAAGCACATAAAGTCTTAATAAACACGACAGCTGCAATCTTTACAGCCACAATTCTGAAACGGAAATTGCAAGAAAGTTGTTGTGATAGCTTAATGGTTAGGTCGAAGGTTGGACTTGAGGGGCCAATCTTTTGCCAGAGCAGGTGCAGCAAACATGGAAAAGGGGGGCATTAATGTCGCAGCTCCCTGCTTACGCTCTTGAACGCTCTGTCAGCTTTTAACATATAGAAAACCACTAGGAATACATTGATTTCTTTCCCATGTTCCAACATATTTTTCTTCAGAAAGTGTGTACGACTTCTTTTCGTTGGCTTCTTCTGATCCATTTCTGGAGACAATTCAAAGTGATCGTTCTAACCTATAAAGCACTCAATGGATAGGTTCCAAATTTGTCACAAGGACCATGTATCCCTTTATGAGCTTCGCTGGGTGTTAAGGTCATCAGAAGAGGCCTTCCTCTCAGTCCCACCACCTTCAGAGGTGAGTTGGTGGGGACACAGAAGAGGGCTTTCTCTGTGGCTGCTCTGAGACTCTGGAACTCCCTCCCACTGGAGGCCAGCCTGTCCCAATCCTTGCTGTCCTTCTGCAAATAGGTAAAGATCTTTCTCTTCAGGCACACTTTCTCTTAGTAACTGAGTATCTGAGAGGGCTTTTTAAATGGGTTATTGTGCCTTGCTTCTTTTAAATGTGATTTTATTGTTAACGTAGGTAAAGTTTCCCCTTGACATTTAGTCCAGTCGTGTCTGACTCTAGGGCACAGTCCTCATCCCCGTCTCCAGAGCCAGCATTTGTCCATAGACAGTTTCCGTGGTCACGTGGCCAGCGCGACTAGACACAAAACGCCATGACCTTCCCACCGAGTTGGTACCTATTTATCTACTTGCATTTACATGCTTTTGAACTGCTAGGTTGGCAGGAGCTGGGACAAGTGACAGGAGCTCCCTCCGTTGCGTGGATTCGATCTTACGACGGCAGGTCTTCTGACCTTGCAACACAAAGGCTTCTGCGGCTTAACCCACAGCACCACCGCATCCCCTCTTATTTTAACATAATGTTTATTAAATTCTTTTAAATATTTGTATATGTGCTCTTTTTAGCGTTTATATGTCGTCTTTCAAGGATGTAAGTCACCTTGATTCCTTTTCAAGGAGAAAAGTGGGCTAAAACATTTTTAAATAAATAAAATAAAATATTCCTGTTTTTTTTTTTCATTGAGACTGAGAGTGGGGTTGGAGGGGGATTTTAAAACCGCAACCTCAGAAGTTCACAGAACACTGTTGCTACCTGACTGGCAGTTGAAACAAAACGAGCTATGACAATGGTAGGATGCACAGGTTCAAAACAGGAGGAACTTTAAGAAAAAAAACTACCACAGAGACCCTGTTTCACCTTTTCAGTGAGAGTTCTCACGCTCACTGAAAAAGCCAAAGCTAATTAAAACAGACCTTATTTGAATGGGGTTAAAATAAAAAGGAACTGAAGTTTGGTTACTTACCCACTAGGGAACAGAAGACCCAGAAAATGAGATGCTCCTTCATGGATAGTAGAGCACCAGGCGAACTTTGCTAAATTCTTGCGCAGAACGCTTGAAATTGCTAGGCTAGGGGTTGTGGGCATGACCCTTTTTGCCTAGGCTGAAGCATTAAGACAGCATCTCCATTCCCGACGCGGCGCATGGGGCAGAGTGAAGACCTGTGGGTTGGGACGCCTGCCTAAGATCACTTCCCTACCTCAGTTGCCAGAGCCGTCGGGAGGCGCATGACGCAGACGGTCCCAGAGCCCTCGGGTGTTCGGAGGCATGTTCCCTGATAAGGTACTTCCTGCTGGCATTCTTGGCCACAAAGGCACGTTCTTCTGGTCTGGCCACTTTTTTCTCTCGTCCCCTTCTGCTACCTCCGCCGGCAGCAGAACTGTATGACTCGACTTGCGGTGATACAAGAAATTGCTTCTGCAATTCTTGCAGGTAGCGAAAACGTGTGCTGCTTAGTAAATACTTGCAAGAACCCTGCGTATCAGAAGTGCGAGGCGGGGCCGGTGTGTGAATCTGAAAGCATTTCCCTTTCATATTTGCTGAATACTGCCTCCCTTGTACCGTGCATTCCTACAGACCAGGGGAAAGGCGCTCCAAATTAAAATGAGTAGTGAAAGATAGATAAAAGCTAAGAGTCTCTGCTGAAAAGCCAGGCCCTCTGAATCTTTCCATTCTGGGGCGACAAGCTATCGGCACGGACACATAATAGTTTTGCGGTCAAGGTTCCCTCACGGACCCCAACGACGGCCCTGAGGGCATTTGGTCCAAAACCAGAACACGCGTGACCAACTTTTCCAAGCTGTATTCAAAACTAGGAGAGTCAAAGCCCTGGAAGCTTCTAAGGGAGACTTTTCTATAGCGTGGATTGAAAGGATGTTCTTTCTAGTGAACTTCCAGTCATTTACCATTTTGAAACACAAACAAGATAAAAATATCACTGAGGAATCTTGTTTTATGTCAATGGTTCCCAACTCTTGAGTCCCTAGGTGTGCTTGGACTACAACTCCCAGAAGCCTTTCACTGCTGGTGTGTTGGCCAGGACTTCTCAGAGTTGTAGTCCAAGAACATCTGGAGACCCAAGTTTGGGAATCAAGGATTCCTCATGGCCCCTTTATGGGCTTTCAGCCAACTGTCCATTCCATCCTTTCATCTCCAAATTTAAAAACAACATCACGTACTGCAACCCATCACGATAAACATGTAATATTAGCCTAATGGTTGGGCTGGCCTTGCTTTTCATTCTGTACATTCTGTAACAGGAAATGTTAATGATTTTTAAAGTGTTTCAAATTAAGCTGGTTTTAATGGTCTTATGAGTGTATCCTTTAAAAAAATATTTTTTTTTAATGATCATGAATGTAAGCTTCTATTTCTACTTTACAGCAGAAACAGGGTAGAAACATCATCATAACTGATGACGATGGGGGACATGACTGCCAGTCAGAGGAAGTCCCAACTTTAACACACCTACTGTTGCCAAGATGAAAAAAAAAATCAGCATCGCTGTTGGAAAACATGACATGGGAGATAGCTGCATGTGTTACTCTCTCTCTCTCTCTCTCTCACACACACACACACAGAGAGAGAGAGAGAGAGAGAGAGAGAGAGAGAGAGAGAGAGAGAGAGAGAGAGAGAGAGAGAGAGAGAGAGAGAGAGAGAGAGAGAGAGAGAGAGCGCTCCCACTTTGAGCTGAAAGTTCTTACTAAAATTCTATTTTCAAATCAATGTGCTTGTCTTCATTCCTTCCCCTGGAAGTACGTAAGTAACTGCCTTCCGTTGGAATTTTTGCAACCTTGCAGGCTGCCTTTAGTAGGCTCAGATGGAAGGAACCTTTCTGGACCGAGATGACTGTCAATCTATCCAGCATGAACCAATTGTTCCTTTCTTGCTTCTGAATTCAAAGACAAGCCAGCCTCTCTGCTCTGAGCTCTTTCCCTGTCAAGAGACAGTTGAAGTTTTTTTGTTGTTGAAGGCAGCCATGTTTATCAGTTTGCTGTTTGATCTGTTCAATTGCAAGTAACAAAATCTTTAATACTGTCTCTTTCAGATGTCTCAGAGTGAGTTATTGAGATTGTTAAGTGCCAGCTGAATGAGAAAAGGGGTGGACTACTCTGTGGAATGTGAAACTATTCTGTTCTGCGAGTCCCTGTATAGCTAGAGGAATTGAACCACACATTCCCAAACTCTACAACATCTTCAAGTGTGTGAGACTCTTAGCGACACATTTCACAAGAAACATCTCTGGATGTTTTTCTCCAAGTATTTATTCTTTCCCCCTTTTAAGGGAATAAAATATGAAACACTCAGTGATATAAGTACCGAACATTTTAACGGAACACAATCCTCCGGAAAATACAGATGTGCATTGCACATAACATTGAACTTTTATCAGTATATGGTTGCCAGCTTCCAACCTTGAGATTCTGCCTATCATCTCCAATCACTTTAGATTTTCTACTGAATCAGGAGACAGAGCCTCCTGAGACCATCCCTTACTCCCTTTGTTTCTCTCCTCTTTTAAGCTCGAGTGGCATGCCAGCAGCCTAGATTACTATCGTAGGGAGAGAACAAATGAATCGGAAAGAGAAATTGGAGGAATTGCAGCTGGCTTATCTTCAGGGGCAAGCTTAAGAGGGATAACAGGGGACTTCCCAATTGAGAGCTGGCAGCCTTGTTTACTGATGAACTGGAATTGGTTTATTCAACAAGGGTTTAGAGAAATGCCAGATGACTCTTGGTGCATACGGAAAAGCACCACTGCTACCTAAATAAACCGTTTAGCAGTAGCAAAAGGAATTTCAGAGTCAGCAATTCAGACCTGCAGGAGAGGTGCATACTAAACTCTTTTAGTATTTAATTTAATCTCCTTAAGAAAACACTGTTTGGATCACCCTCAACTTTGCTAATGCGTGGATGGTGATTTCCAGCTTATGCCCTCAGCTTCGTGATGAACGACTAAAGGGAAAGATGGACAGCAGCTTTTCAAAACTCACAATACTGATGAAGAGGAATTTTGTAAAAATCCACTGACTGAGGATAGTGAATACTGTTGTCTGACATATTAGAAATCCACTGACTGGGGATAGTGAATAGTGTTGTCTGACATACTAGGAAGACACAGATTGAGGAAAGCTGATATTAGGGCTAATTTCCCCATGTCCCTCAGCCCGAACTGAGATGCAGTGGGATCTGTTTCTTTCTGATGGATAGACTCTAAACTTAGGAAGAAGAATTCAGTTTTCATAGCTAAGCCTGCAATGAGATTTCTGAGGTAGCAGTAAATGAGGAAATAGGAAGCACAACTCAATCGTGCTTCTTTGTTCTCTATATTTCTCGGACGTGGTGGCCCTGCGGGTTAAGCTGCAGAAACCTCTGTGCTGCAAGGTCAGGAGACCTGCTGTCGTATGATCGAATCCACGCAACGGAGGCAGCTCCCGTCCCTTGTCCCAGCTCCTGCCAACCTAGCAGTTTGAAAGCATGTAAATGCGAGTCAATAAATAGGTACCACCTCAGTGGGAAGGTAACGGCATTCTGTGTCTAGTTGCGCTGGCCACGTGACCACGGAAACTGTCTACCTATATTTCTCTTTTACAAAACGATTTGCTTTTGATACAGCAAGAAAATGTGGGAACCATTTCCTGCTGTGATTATTGTCACATGTTAGGCCATCATACCCTAAAGAGGTTTTAATAAAAATAAACTTAGGAGCAACGTCTGATGGGAATATGATGTTATGCGGACCTCAGTTATCCAACTTGTGCTCTTGCAATATAAGGTATGTGTTTGGGCTCATAACCGTGAAACCTAGAGCTGGACAAAACTCCAGAATCTCCATCTCCTCCCAGTGTCTCATTTTCTAAGTCCTCCTTACAAGACGCCATCAAAAGAGGGACCTCTTCCCTGAGTTCTCTGCAATTGCTGACGTCTTTTTCAAAACTTTCCTGATTTATCAGCTGCTCCTCAAGGAGCCACGAGACGTCCAGTTGTCCGCAGGTGGCTTCAGGGTGGTCTCTTGCTGCCATGAATTGCCTCCTCGTAGGAGATACAGGGTCAAGTCCTTCTGTCAGTCTTGGCATGCGAGGCCAAAAGTCTATATCACTATTCGCATCTTCCTGTCCTTCTCCTCTGGCAACTGGAGAAGTGATAGGAAAGTCCAGGGGATCATCCATTGAAGAGTTTTCCGAAAGTGAGCCTCCCAGATTTTTGGAGAATCCAGAAACAGCCTTTTCTGTCACCCATTCTATTGAATCAAAGGGTCCTGGCATCATCACCACTGGCCAACACTCCCCATGAGGATGGGCATTTCCAGATTGAGAAGATGGATCGAATGCCTTCTGATCCAAGCCCACTTGGAAATCCCTGTCTTTCTTTTTGAATCTGTGCATTTCCGTGTAAGGTATGGGACCACCGCTATCATCTTCGTCTTCTTCATCCTCATTACCGTCTTCTGCCAGTGAACACACAGGAGACCGTGTTATCTGATGAGGGAGCCTGTTCCTCTTTCCTGCATCTAAAGGCACCCCTGTGCACAGGAGGACATCCACTACGATTTCTTCCATGGTGCCAAATTTGAACAACTTCTTTGGACTGTTGAATGTGGAAAAATCCTGATCGGAAAGAGAAAATGCAGATTAATGTCTGGAAAAATGCAACTGGATTTGCATCAGTTTTGGATTTTTAGAAAACAAAACCACGTAAAACTAGTATAGATTGACCGCACTAAATAGCGGAAGGCTAGGGCATCATGAGTAATCACAAGGTCACACATTTTATGCTGGTGTTTAAGTAAATATTTTCATTCAAATCCTGAAGGCGAGGTTTCCATTGGCCTTCCAAACTGGTTTTCAGGCAGTATTTTGGAAATACTTCCGACCAACTCTTAAAGATCATTGGGTTTTTGAACACTAGCATTTAAAGAATTATTTCTAATCTTTTTCTGAAGATTGTTTTGGTCTGTCGCATATCACTTTGGAAGCTCTAATAGGCATAAAAGTGATAAAAATACATTTTTATTCAACGAGTGCCCCCTTCAAATCCTAAACCCTCTTGTTTTGCTAACATATTGAGGTTGTTTGGACAGGCAGGGTCCAAATATGTTAGTTCGTGAGCTGTGGAGAACAGATTAAATACAATTTAGCACACTGAGTTAGGTGTCTGGCTTTAGAGCCAAAGTCTGGGAATTCAGTTCCTCACTGTGCAATTCCAGACGAGCCAGCCTGGGGGGCCTTGGGCCAGCTGCACAGTCCCAGGTCGCCCCCTAGAGGAAGCGAATGGGAAACCACTTCTGAGTACTCTTATCTAGAAGCCCTGAAAAGGGTCACCCTAAGTCAGAATTGACTTGATGTCACATGATGATGATGACCAGTTAAAAGACTAACTATTAAAATCAATAAGCTGTACAAAAGGCTCGTATCTCTCCGTGGCAGTGTGCCCGGTTCGCACAGCAACTGTTTTACAAGTTCACTCTTGGCACTGAAACGTGAGGTTTGGAAAGATGCCACTGCTCGGTTCACCGGCTGGCGAGGGCTACTAATCATGTAATGAATCCGACAAAGACACAGTAGCGGGCAGCATGATATGTCGGTTAACGCATGCCAGCTGCCAAATGGTAACCAACACCCCAGAAATCATATATGAAATATTTGAGCGCTTGACTATCTCGGAATGCCGGTGAGTATTCAACATGGGAATTAGCCAAGGACTGCGTGTGGAGCAACTTTGCTAGAGCAAAGTGAACACTCTTGATTATTTCTGAAAGAGCTGGCCGAAGAAGTAGGAGCTGGTTTCATACACACACTTGCTGTAAAAAAATGCACGCTGTCATTGCCAAAGCAAGCTTACTGGGTTCTTCTCTTGCCTTGGTGGCCCTCTGTAGTTCCTCCTCGTTTCCACTCTCTGCCCCTGCGTCTGCAGTTCATGCAAAGCTTGTTTTTAATTGGGACTCAAGATTTGGGACTTGGGAGCTGGACCCTAAGAATTGCCAGCATCCCTGATTTTAAATGAAAGAAATGCATTCCAGCCAATGGTACTCAGACTGTTCTCGAAGCCTGCAACAGGATCGCCAGCCATTTCCATTCTTTCCACACACAATATGAGCATGCTCGGGTATTAAGATCATCAGGAGAAGGCTTTCTTTCAGTCCCACCACCCTCGCAGGTGTGTTAGGTGGGAACACAGGAGAGGAGGGCCTTCTCTGACGTGTGGAGCAACTTTGCTAGAGCAAAGTGAACACTCTTGATTATTTCTGAAAGAGCTGGCCGAAGAAGTAGGAGCTGGTTTCATACACACACTTGCTGTAAAAAAATGCATGCTGTCATTGCCAAAGCAAGCTTACTGGCTTCTTCTCTTGCCTCGGTGGCCCTCTGTAGTTCCTCCTCGTTTGCTTACCCTGCCCCTGCGTCTGCAGTTCATGCAAAGCTTGTTTTTAATTGGGACTCAAGATTTGGGACTTGGGAGCTGGACCCTAAGAATTGCCAGCATCCCTGATTTTAAATGAAAGAAATGCATTCCAGCCAATGGTACTCAGACTGTTCTCGAAGCCTGCAACAGGATCGCCAGCCATTTCCATTCTTTCCACACACAATATGAGCATGCTCGGGTATTAAGATCATCAGGAGAAGGCTTTCTTTCAGTCCCACCACCCTCGCAGGTGTGTTAGGTGGGAACACAGGAGAGGAGGGCCTTCTCTGATGCTGCTCTGAGACTCTGGAACTCCCTCCCACTGGAGGCCAGCCTGGCCCCATCTTGCCTGTCCTTCCACAAGCAAGCGATGGCCTTTCTCTTCAGGCAAGCTTTCCCTGAATGACTAGCTGCCAGAGTGGGTTTGTTTTTTTAAATAGACTGCTTTGAATCTGTATTTTACGTTGCTTTTGCTTACCGTTTTTAGTATGTTATTTGTTTGATCTTTTTTTAGTATTTCTATACTCACTATTGTTAGTTTTAAATATTGTCTTTTAATGATGTAAGCCACCTTGGGTCCTTTTTTTCAGAAGAAAGGAAGAAGATGATATCTTGATACTGTATTGCAATATTTTAAAAAGATTTTAGCAAGATTTTAAATGCATAAATAAAATACTCTCCACATGGTTCTCCATCACACTGTCCATCTGCTAAGCGCACCCCATTGCAGAGGATGCAGCTGTATTTTGTAGGGCTTCAGATTGCATTTCTGGAAGGCAGTGGCCAGACCAGCTACAACTCACGGCTCACCTACTTGAGCTGAAAGCTCAGCCCAGAACACACCCACACGTCCCCAAAGCTACAAATATTGAAAAGGAGCAACCAAAAGCCACTCTGGGAAATGGTGAACACAAGCAATACTAAAAACACAGCCAAAGGAAATATTGCATCATAGGTAAAGGCTCCCCTTGATATAACAAGCAATACTAAAAACACAGCCAAAGCAATATTGCATCATAGGTAAAGGCTCCTCTTGATATATAGACCAGTTGTATCCAAGTCTAGGGCACAGTGCTCATCCCCGTTTCCAAGCCATAGAGCCAGCGTTTGTCCGAAGACAGTTTTCATGGTCACGTGGTCAGCACAACTAGACACGGAATGCCATGACCTTCCCACTGAGGTGGTACCTATTTATTGACTGAACATTTTTATGTGCTTTCGAAGTGCTAGGTTGGCAGGAGCTGGGACAAGCGACGGGAGCTCACTCCGTCGTGTGGATTCGATCTTATGATGGCAGGTCTTCTGACCTTGCAGCACACAAAGGCTTCTGCAGTTTAACCCGCAGCGCCACCATGTCCCTAACTCAGTTATTCTACGCTTCTATAAAATATGTTCTATGGCTAATTTAGACCCTTCTCCAGACATGATCTTTGAAGCTGAAGAGGTCTCCACTGGTCCGTCATCTCCCTTGGCTATCTTCCACAACTTTAGGAAAAAGGACCGAGCCTTTCTGAGCTATCTGACAAGAATCCCAAACAGGGATTGTTAACTGGGGAGAGAATCTAACATCTGCCTTCTCCATTTCAAAAGCCAGCTATATTTCTCATACCAAAGCCTGAGGCGTCTTGGCTTGCTTAAGCTTGTGTCTGCACCAGACGTAGACGCTAAGAGGACCAGCTGAGACCACGAGCAGTAAGGGAAGAAAAATCAATGTCCAGTTTTCTGCTGCAAAAGAAAAAAAACAATTTAAAAAGAAAATGTGAAGAGACCACAACACTTTCTTCACGATACAAACACGTGGAGTTTGGGAAGTGAGGAGTCTACATTAAATTAGGATCTATGGTGCTGCTGTATATGCACTTTTAGACCCCTGGCCCACCTAGTTATTACTATTGCTGCTGAACGGCAGGAATAGCTTTCCTGTATTTCAAACAGGAATATTTTCCAGCTCTACTTGAAGAACACAAAGACTGAATTGGGGACCTTCTTCATGTAAAGCGTGCGCTCTACCGCTGAGCAGATCCACAGAAATTTATTTGCCTCATGAGATTCTGCTTCCTAACATTTTGGAGGAGTTGCAGCTGTATTCGGCCATTTTAATTGTTCTGAAAAGCAGTGTATTAGACCTCCCAGCTGCAGGTTTTGCTTAGTGAGAAAAAAAGGGGGGAAGAAAATTACCAGTTTCTAAGAGAAGACTCTTGGGGAGGGGGAAATACTTCCCTTAGGTCTTTTGGAGCAAGTCAAGACTCTTTAAAAAGTGGTATAAATCAATATAGTTAATCTGTGGAGATACAGATCTTTCCAGTGGATGGTGCTCCTTTCTCACAGGTACTTGCTGCCTTTTGCTATCATCCTGAATGAAATGCTCAGCAATGTATCTAAGCCCCTAGAGATAGGGAGACGGAGGCCATTTGAGGACCCTCGGGGCCCAGGGCAAGGTATGGCAATAAGACCACTCTTGCCCTCATCATCATCTCCTCAACATTGCGAGGCAGTTTATCCCGTCCTGTGGTTTCAGCCTCCTCTCAGTTGCTCTGCTTCCTTGGCCACTTCCTCTTCAGTGCTTTTTATTATCAGCCGGGTTTATTTCCTTTGTAAGGAGAAAGAACTTTAGTACCACCCCCCCAGAGCATAAAATTTCTGGGTATGCCCAAGAGGACTGAGGGGAACAATCTTTTAGAAAAGGCTGGAATCAAAAAAGTAAGTGTGAAGAGATGGAGCAAACTCTCCACATCCTATCGCTAGGCAAATAGCCGTAATGCGGGTAAGGCCTACGAAGGACCTTATTTTTTTTGGAGGTCCAGAGTTCTGAGCACCTTGGAAGGTCCAGTTGTGGTGGCCATTTTTATTTTTCTGAATTGCAATGTGTTGGAAGTCCCAGCCCCAGTGAAGTGCGGATAAAACATCATAACAAGAGCACCGTTGGATCAGACCTGAAGGCCTGTCAAGACCAGAAAGGAGGCTGGCTGGGAGATTCTTGGGCTCTGCCTTCCAAAATCCAAGCTCTGTCTGATTCCTAGACTATCGACCAAGTAACTCTAGAAAGCCCTGAGAAGTGACAAGATCCATAGATCCTGAGATGATCACTTTGACCTAAGAACACAACATACATCACAACAAGTCATCACTAGTAGCTTCATCCTCCATGGCTTTGTAAACAACATCCCATTTTGTGGCAGCTGACTTGCTAATTTACCTATTTATTTATTTATTTGATTTATACCCCGCCCATCTGGTCTACCTGTGTGATTAATATCATTTGTAATGAGAAGTATTTTTTAAGAAGCTATACTTCCTTTGTGGGAAGAAGGACTTCCTTATTCATTTTCTTTATTGATCTTAGAAACCTCAAGCTCCAGAATTGTAAAAGACGTACAACTGCCTCTTTCTGTCTTCTCCCATACCAGCCATAATTTCATGTATTTCCCTCATGTTTCCCCTTACTCTGCGTTTCCCCTTCCTTTTCCTCCATAAGAAGTTCAAGAGCAGCAAAAAACGACATAGTTAAATAACATGAAATTTATCAGTTTTGGAAGACTGTATAACAGCAACAAGGAAAGCTATGACAAACCTAGACAGCATCTTAAAAAGCAGAGACATCACCTTGCCCACAAAGGTCCACATAGTCAAACTTATGGTTTTTCCAGTAGTGATGTATGGAGGTGAGAGCTGGACCATACAGAAGGCTGACCGCCAAAGCATGGATGCTTTTGAATTGTGGTGCTGGAGGAGGCTCTTGAGAGTCCCCTGGACTGCAAGGAGAACAAACCTATCCATTTTGAAAGAAACCAACCCTGAGTGCTCCCTGGAAGGACAGATCCTGAAGCTGAGGCTCCAATACTTTGGTCATCTCATGAGAAGAGGAGACTCCCTGGAAAAGACCCTGATGTTGGGAAAGTGTGAAGGCAGGAGGAGAAGGGGACGACAGAGGACGAGATGGCTGGGCAATGTAATCGAAGCGACTAACATGAATTTGACCCAATTCCAGGAGGCAGTGGAAGGCAGGAGGGCCTGGCGTTCTCTGCTCCATGGGGTCACAAAGAGTCGGACACGACTTAACAACTAAAGAACAACAACACAGCAGCAACAAATTGAGCAATTGCTACAGAGAAACCTAGTTCTTTATCTTCTAGTAATACAGTGACAAGGTCTTCAGAGAACGGGATTTCCAATAAAACAAATAATGGTTTAATAAAACACTCACAGTTGTACAAAAAGGGCAAGAACACACAATGTGTGAAAATTATCCAGCTTATTGCTGTCACATGGCCAAACTCCCTCGGAGTAAGGCTGCCCTGACAATCTGCCTTGCATCTCCCTCAAAGGGACAATATTCAATCCCATATATAAAAAGGCTGTTACAGCAGTACAACAACAGAACCAATTACAATATTCAATCCCATATATAAAAAGGCTCTGTTAGAGCAGTACAACAACGGAACCTATGACCTCAACAGGTGGTGAGCGCTCCAACGCTGGAGGTATTCAAGAGAAAACTGGACCACCCTTTGTCAGTTCTGCTTTGATTTGGATTCCTGCCTCAAGCAAGGGGTTGGACCTTAAAATCCCCTTCCAACTCAATTGTTCTGTTTCTATATTATTATTATCAGCAGCACACAGCAAAAGCCTGCCCCACAAATGAGTTTAACCTGTTAGAGCAGGATAAATGTGCAAAGGAAGGACTGGAAATTTATGGACCCTCACCTGCCCCTTGCAGGATACCTTTTCCATGTAGCTGTGTACAAACCGGCCAGGAGAAGTGGCTCCATTTCTCGTTTGTCTGGAAGTAACTCCGGGCATGGAAGCAGTAATTACCGCTAGGCCACTGCGTCATGTTAAGTTCTATCACATTCCCCTTCGGTCGCTCATACCTGTTCTGAAATATAAAGAAAGTGAAACTGAAAACACACACAGGGATCAACAAAAGCCTTAGCGATAACAAGATATAATAATGGTAGACTTCAGCTTGCCACTGGGGTTGTGAATGGGGTTACTTTACTGGCTCTACTTCTATAACGAAACAAACAGAGCTTTCCTAGAATGACAAAATTGTGGAAGAACACCATGTTTGTGGGTTTCAGGCAATTACGAAAGGCAAAGCATTAGGGCCAGTTCAAAAGGTGGCCACCCCAATGCCTGGGCTGCATATAGAGGTGGAAAGAAAGCATGTTGGTAATCCTAACCCTCTGGGCCCACTTTGGTCCTTTCACCAGATGGGAGAGCTAAACCATTTAGGTTTCCCTCCATGGGGATCTTGGATTCTTGACATGGCAGTCACCTAAAAAGCTGGCATCTGAAGCCACAAGCAAGCCTTGACGTGATTCTGGGATGTTTAGGAGAGCGAAAGTCACAAACCCCAGGCTGGCCGTAACACTAAACACGAACATGCACTATACACTGTGCAAGCAACATGTTAGGACAGAAGGGCTGAAAATCTCTGATGAGGAGCTTTTCAAGAGTGCTTGATTTAGGATTGCTTGACTTAGGGTGCAACAGTAGGAAAAGTACAGACTGATCCACTGTAAATTCACACCTGGGAAGTCAGGGTGAATTCACTTTAGCTGACCAGATAGGAACGAGGAGAAAGAAAGGATGGAACTGGCAATCAGCCCTTGAGGTTGTTAAGGCAGATTCTGCTGTAGCTGTCCAGACTTGCAGGAGACTTAGCTACAGCAGAGCTAGCTTAACAAGCTGCAAACAAGGGCTGATTGCCAACTTCCTTTCCCCCACCCTCCTCAATCCTATCAGGTTGTCTAAAGCAAACAAACTTTCATTAGCTGGACCTTGTAAACAAGGGCTGATCATTAATGTCCTCCTCATTCTCCATTTCTTTTTTCTTTTGATCTCCTAGGTCTCCTAGCTAGCACATCAGCCTTCGCATGCATGCATGCATGCATGCATGCATGCATCCATCCAATAAGCAGTGGATGAGAACTGGCATTCCTGCAAGTACCTCTTTGTTTCATCTATTTCCAATTTGAACAAGGGAATGGAGAAAGCCAGCATGAGGTTGGCCCGTTCAGCCATGGAACTGCATTGGTTCAACCAACCACACGTGCTTGAACTGATATGATTGGCGGGGGGAGGAGTACAAGTCCCAGTAACACAGGAAGAAAGTACAGATTGGGATGGATGGGGAACTCCAGACTGATTAGCATTGAATTGTACCTCATGTAATAAATGGAAAATAAAATCAATCTGACTGTCCAAATCCTGGATCATTTCCTGTATTATTTGTCAATGTGTCGCCCCTTTAGAATGATAACCAATCTCTATTGCACGGTCACCATCACCAGTCTTGACATATATGCCTTCTCTGCTTAATAGGCAAGGTAGACGATAATGCAACGAAGCCATGATTTTGATTTTTCTTTTGTGTGTTATAATGTGACAGCGAAGTCCTGCACTGGACTTAGCCATCTTTCACTCACTTTTTTCTCTGTTCCTGCTTCCCAAGTTTCCAAGTTGTAGTAGACCTGATGCTGCAAGATGTCCTTCGCACACGATGGGTACAAGAAAGTAGCGTTCACTCTGACGATGTTTTCAGTCTCGTGTACTTGCAACATTGGGGGCGCAGGTTCCACTAGAAATGTTTGAACACATATTTAGAGAACTTTCGAGGGAGACAGATTAAAGTTGGACTTTCATTAGTCCATGGACAACCCTCAATGGGAATTCCAAATGTTCCTTAGTCCTTCGCACACGATGGGTACAAGAAAGTAGCGTTCACTCTGACGATGTTTTCAGTCTCGTGTACTTGCAACATTGGGGGCGCAGGTTCCACTAGAAATGTTTGAACACATATTTAGAGAACTTTCGAGGGAGACAGATTAAAGTTGGACTTTCATTAGTCCATGGACAACCCTCAATGAGAATTCCAAATGTTCCTTATACAGTACATGCTCTCTTTTTCACATTGATGATATCCCCCATCCATTTTGTTGACCGGATATGCAGACTTAGTGCTACTGTTGTTGGCTCTTCCCTCTCCTTTAGCGCTATATCACGCCCACCTCTTTGTCACATTGTGATGTTACAGAATTCATGAAATACAGTGGGGTCTTGACTTGAGAACTTAATCCGTATTGGAAGGCGGTTCTCAAGTCAAAAAGTTCTCAGGTCAAATCTGCATTTCCCATAGGAATGCATTGAAAACCATTTGATCCGTATCTGCTCTTTTCCGTCCATAGAAACTAATGGGAAGCTGCTATTCCGCCTTCGACCACTAGAGGGGGATATTTTGTTTCTTTTTTTCTTAGGTCAAGAAAGGTTCAGGGAAGGCAGGGAAAAGACAGTTCAGGCAGTTCAGTACCAGGCAGTCTGAAGACTGTCTCCCAATCCACGCTCTAAACCCTGGGAGGAGTGAGGAAGCAGACAGGCACCCTTTTCACTGGCCAACAGTTAACTGACAGTTCAAATTTTGCACTTTCCCTGCCTCCCACATGTTTTTTTTTCAGTTCTTAACTCAAATCTAAGTATGTAAGTCAAGTCAATATTTTCCTATGAGAGTGGTTCTTAAGTCAAAATGTTCTTAAGTCAAGACCCCACTGTAGCTTGTTGTTTCTCTATGGCAGGGTAAGCATTGTCAGGGGCGTCATGAAAATGTGACTGATGGATGCGGAATGCCAACTGCAATGTATCTGCATATAGACGGGGACTGGCTGAGACCGAGAGAAAGGGAGGCGCTATTGGAATGAGGCAACGCGAATGAGCTTGGGAAAAAAATGAGTGATTCAAAAGGGAGGCGCTATTGGAATGAGGCAACGTGAATGAGCTTGGAAAAAAATGAGTGATCCATAGAGATGGGCACGAACTGCTGGTTTGGTGGTTCGTCGCGGTTCGTTTCCCAGCCAAACACCTGGCAGTTTGATGCCGCACCCCCTCCAGTGGTCACCCATTTGGAGGCAGCGTCTGGAGAAGACAGAGCAAGGTGTTGTCGCTGAGGGGGTGCCCGCTGGAGTGAGTAGGCTGTTCAACTGTGGATCAGCTGTTTGGCCAGTAAACGAACCACGATGAATCACTGAATCACTGGTTCGTGACCATCTCCAGTGATGAATGATGCTTTGATGAGGATGGTTGGAAAGTTTGGAAGAACGTCCAGAAGGAAACATTAGCAATAGGGATTCAAGTATTCAATAAAAAGGTGTATCTTGATCCCTAAGCAAAGACAGTTGGTTGGCACCACCCCTTCCATGCTAGCTCTCTCAGGTGGGGAGTGATGCCTTCATACACAGTGCAACCCCTCACGCAAGCAGGAACACGGAAAATAATCAGGATTCCCATTTACATGGAGATGCTCCATGCGCCAGGCTGTTTTTCATCCTCAGATTTAACAGTCTGCATGAGACAGCTATGGCAAAGGGAGCCGGAAGAGATTTAAAGGTGTGTCCTAAAAGCTTCAATAGGCCTAGTTAGAGCGAATGGCATCAGTGGAAGAAAAGAAAAATGCATACGGGAATTTGTGATGCTGTGCTTAAGAATTACACTGTCAGAAGCCCAGTAATAATAAAAAGTAACGGCACTCATAGATGGTCGGGTGGCAGGACTTGACTTATATACCGGATCACAGATTGTGCTTAATATATATATTTTTAGCAGTTCTGTCCATGCCTACTGCTTGGTCATCAGTACCCAAGAGTTAATGAGCCTAAAGGAACTAGCTTATAAATTTTATACCACAAACAACCGCAAGAGTTGAATCTAGTAGAGATCTTGGTGGCTGCATTTCTCCGAGAAGAACTGTGTTTATGGGGAGGAAGGGAAGATCTAAAATGGCAGTTCAAGATGGGATCACCACACACGTCCACTCTCCTTTTATAACCCTGTGAAAACGGTGGCGTTTTCTGTCTGTCCCCTGCATACCAGGGCCTTGGGTTCATGTCCTTATCATCTCTTGACTTCCACCATGGCCTCCTCTCTGGACATTAATGATTAAACCTTACTCTACTTGTTGGAGTCCCGCACTCTGCCACCAAGGTCACTCACCCTTCTTGGGTATTTGACCATGGTCTTGATTTTGTAAATCCTTCCACCAGCTTTATGTTTATTTACAGAACTTGCCCTTCAAACCCTTCCATGGATTTGCCCGTTCCTTATTTCGCCACGCGTTTATCTAAGAGTAGATATTATTTCAAGGAACCTGGTATTGCATTCAGATCATCGTGAAGGGAACCTACTCAGTGATCCTCCATCACCTGCTAACTTCCATTTTTTCTGATTTCTAACAAACAGGCTTTTATTATAGAAACTGCTTTCCTGGTTTAGACCGCTCTTATCGGTATTGCTGGTGTCATCTCCTCTCCCTAAAAAGCAACTCTTTCTGGTGCAATCGGACATCTGCATCTAAGTTAGCTAGAATTGGGATTCCTGTTATTTTTCCTCCCTTAGTTTAATTCTTGGTAAACCTTGCCTTTCCCCTCCAATTCAAGCCCTGGCAAGAACTGACAATGGAAGCAGGGGGAACAAGAAGGAACTCGTAGACTCAGTGCAAACATTGTTGAGGTCTTGAAGATGACTGAACTCAACTCAGCTTCCGCTGAAGGAGATGTATGTCTTTGCACTGGGAAGAGTCGATCCAGAGGGATTGACTTGAGGATGGCTGTCCTTCACTTACTGGGATGTGTGCTGACCTTCCTTCAATCTAGGCTCATAGCCTTAGGATTTATAGTGTTGCTTCTTTCCTTCTTACATTTCCCTTCTGGAACCTCTCCAAGAGAGAGCAGAGGAGACATCTTGCTTTGAGGGGGTGGCCATGGCTCTCTGCATCTCCACCTTAATTAGCTAGAAATAGAAGTATCTTTCATAGTCTCTCTCTCTAAGAAGTACAGGACGATGCCCATATCTGCAAGGGATTGTTTCTAAGCTGCCCTGCGGATGTGTGAAACCGTGGATACCAGTGAACCCATTAAAGAGTTGGC